ACACTGATAGGCAGCCTTGCACTACAACACATAGACTTACAAGGCTATTTCTAAACTGACCATCCTCAGACAACTCCACATGCAGCAGATTACCTCTGAGAGCCCAAGACGTGCAGTGCATGTACAAGAAAATTCTTGGTCCCAAAGCATCAGACTTACTGTGACCAGCTGCTGCTGCTGCCCTGCAAGCAACAGAACAGTGAGCCCCTGGCACCTATGGCCTCTTTTCCTCCAGTTTTACCCATCTCGGATGGGTATTAAATGCACGGTTTTTCCAGAATAAAATAAAGAGATAGTGGCACTTTTCAGTGTTCACGTTTCTATGGACCTGGAAGAACTCTCAAAACCACAGAAAAATCTAGTGCCTGCACAGGCTCTTCCCTTGTTTCCCTTCCCATTCAATTTTCCAGTTTCATATAAAACACCTTCTGTTTTGTTAGTTGTTTTTTTTCTTTTTGCAAATGCTAAGTGGGTCTCTTCACAGAGATACCTGAGCAACTAAAAATATCTCTAGAGGCACCATTTCCCCCCACCAGTAAGAGTGTTACTTCTATTCCAAGGAAGAGAGAACAGAGCGACCTGGTGGTAGAGAGTGGAAGAGCAAAACCTCCATAAAAGCCTATGAAGAACCCGTACAATGTCTGACTTCAGCATTACAGCTCAAGGAGAAAGCTCTTACATCAAAAAATTACTTCACCTTAAAACACATTCTGAGGCACAGTGGACATGTGCTGAATCTGATGGAACACCCTGACAATGTGACTGTGTTGAAGTAATTTCCCAGGTAAGCACCAGCAGTTCAACCCTGGCAGCTGCAAGACTATCAGAACAACTTTTAAGTACACAAACACAATTCCAGCAGCCCAAAGCACTGCTGAGATTACTTCAGCAGCCCCAGCCTCTAGCTCCCATTTCAAACTTGTTCACTTTTCCACTTGGCAAGGGATGGAAAGCAGCTGTGCAAGGGGAAAAATACTGCAGATGTGACTCATGAAACCATGCACACACCTGGGAACAACTGAGCACCACCAGAACTATTTCTGTTAAAAAAAAACAACACAACAAAACACCAAAAAAGAAGCCAGGTTGCCAATCTGGGAGTGGTGTGACTTGCACTTTCCTTAAGAGCCATCAGTGGTATTTTACAGACTATCATGTGCACTCAGTGATGTCCAGAATCATCATTACATGGAAAAACTGAAGCTGGCATCAGCTGTCACAAACATGAGGGAGATCACAGGAGCAGAAACACAAAGCTCCCCCAGGTCCCTCACAGGGAGAGCAGTTTTGGCACAGGAACAGAAAATGCTGATACAACCTCCTCCCCTGGTCCTCGTGCTAAACTGCACGTAGCAGCTTTGTTATTAGGTAGCATCCTCCACAAAGCTTCACATCTAAACAAAACACAGCTACAGAGACATAACAGGAGGAATAATAGACAGGAGGCAGGGCAAGGAAGGCTTTCCAGGGAGATCTGAAATGATTGGGGAAAAGAGTGATGCACAATAAGGTGGTTCCAATGGCAGGAAAGGCAAAGAAGGCCCCATTGCTACGAGTGGAAACATTGCAAAGGGACCCAGAAGATTATGAATAGAAGCAGAAAAGTAGATATTCTATAAATTGAAGCAGAAGAAGAAGAAAGATGAGGTTTGGGGTAGGGAGAGAAGCAAGTTACACCTCACTTCTATCAATAAAAGCCTAAGGATCTCAACAAGATTCCTCTTTCAAGGAATAGGAAGCTGAACATTCATAAATGGCAAGGTAATAAACTGCAGGCAGGGTCCTGGAGAAAGGAAAAGACAGGGTGCTGGACTAGGATAGGAGCAGCTCCTTAGCTTTTCCTACAAAACAAATAGTTGACTGATTTAACAGGAACCCAGCAAAGGCAAAAAGATACTGCACACATGTCTGAACAACAAAAAAATGGGAAGCTTTTATTAGTGAAAGAAAATATGTCTACAGTCACAAGGGGCATGCAGTAATAAGCTTGAGTCTTTTTTTGCTGAATAAACTGAGCTTTACCTTCACATTAGCTTTGCTCCTCACTTCCCATCCTTGTATGCTTCCAAAATGGTGAATATCTCACAGGACAGGTTGTCACTGTATGGTACTGTAAGAATTCCAACACAGGACAAACTGAATCATGAGCATAACAGCAGATCTGTTATTTGCCCTGAAAGCACAATTTTGCTGTTGAATTTAATTATCCCCTCTTGGCAGCTGGAATTTGTAATAGGAAACCTCTGATATCCTCAGGAGGTGGCAACCAGGTTCCTCAGCTGGTGGTGGCTGAGGAACACACTTGAATCACATGAAATAAAGAGATATTTGAGGCTTCACACCCCTGACTTCATATTCTTAAGCAATTCCCTTTTTTCAATAGCTCTGGATTCTGCTGTTCAAGCTGAGAAGCCCAACTGCCCTCCACAGTGGTATTTTCTTAGGGGAATAAGCAAAGTTGGAAAAAGAAACAATTTTCCATCTCAGACCTGCCAGAACAGATGCTCTTGTGTTCCATTCCAAAGATGTAAATGTCAAAAGGGAGGGCAGCTGCTGCTGCAGCTTTTGCTGCATCCCAAGGGATGCCAAGGTGGTACAAAGGGCCTGCCCTGACTCCTGCTGCTTCTAAAAACAAAACCCAGTTTCTCATGGGAGTCAGATCTCCACTTCCATGGAGAAAATAAAGGCTCCCAATACTCCTTAAGGCTTAGCAGCACAGAGAGGCAACAGCCAAGCTGCCCAGGTGTTTAAAAGAGTTACAGCAAGTTAAGGTCTCTGCTGTCCCCTAGGATTAGTTCGGAGCTCATGTCTGGAAGATCCATTCTTTGTTTTTTTGCTTGAAACACACCAGTCAACAACCAGGCCATTCAGAACTGGTCCAGCCACAGACAAGAAGACCACATTTCTGGGAAGGGTCAGAAATTCTAGGATGAACAAGAATGTACAAACGGCAGATGCTCAAGTGAGCAAAGTGAATAAATTGTGTTGGAATGCAGTTCCAGTTAAACTAATTGAGAATACAGTAGAAACTTTGATAGCAATTCATTGAAAGGGAACCACGCTGCACTTGTCTCCCCTAATTAATTCCATCAGGATCCCTTCA